TTCTTTCTTCTCTCCTTCCCTCCCTCCCTCCCTCCTTGTTTTTTGTTTGTTTTTAGAGACAAGATCTCACTTTGACATAGCTCACTGCAGCCTCAGACTCCTGGGCTCAAGTGATCCGCTTGACTCAGCCTCTCAAGTAGCTGGGACTACAGGTAAAGTTTCTCTATGTTGCCCAGAACTGATCTTGTGCTTCTGTCCTCAAGCAGACCTCTCACCTCGGACTCCCAGAGGGTTGGTATTATAGGCATGAGCCACTAGGCCCAGCCTAAAGAAGTTTTTTTGATAATGAAATTTGGAAAAGAAAGCCCATTACTGAGAGTACTAACTCAGCAGGTAGTTCCATATAATACATTCCAAGATTCTCAGATTGGCCTGGGAGCCCATGGAGAGGCTATATAAAGAGCCCATTGGTGAAGAAACGGGTAGAAAGAAGCAGCAGAGAGAAACAGTCTATGTCAGGAGCTTGCCAAGGACTGTGAGGTTTTAAAAATCAAATAATTATCTGTTTTAATGTATAGTTATTTTCCAAAGAGCAAGTAAAATGTTGATACTAGAATATTACAAATCATTCCCTCATCAATCGATGTAAGCATCAGGTCACAATAATTCTCTCTATATGTTGGTTGTTACTTATTTAAACACAAACTTACACAAGCACATACAAACATGCAATGGAAGGACACGTGAGCTATTTCAAGAATTTCTGAAAGGGTGTTTGTATTTCAGGGACAGTGACAGAAATTCTTTGGAGGTGAAAATGTCCATTTGTTGGAAAAGCCTTTAATGAGTGTTTCAGTACTTCAAAAATAAGACCCCAAATTAGCAAAAAGAAAGAGATATTTTCTTTTATAAATGGCCATTTTGTTGTTTTATTCTTAATTTTTATGACATGTGATTGTCTTTCAATATAGTGAATTTTCCTAATTCTACTCCCGCCCTGATCATACCTTTATTGCATTTATAGAAGGATTTTTTTCCTTATTCTATACTCAGTGAAGGATATCTCCAAGGTTCTCACTCATTTGGTTATAATTTCATACGGATTTTAAAAATATATATTTTATTTTAAAGAGGTGGGTTACAATTCAGGACTAGGTATACAAATAGACGTCGTACAGGTGAAGTTTGGGACTCCCTTTGGTCCCCACTTTTCCTAGTTTGAGATCAGGTACCCTTATTGATGTTATGTGCCCCCACCCTCAACCCCAGCATTATCCCGATACTGCCAATCCCTTTCTTATGGTATTATGGTAAATGTTCAGGGTCTGTTATGGGTGAGAACATGTGGTAAATCAACTCTGCTCCAAAAAGCAAGAGGGTATTCTCCAAAGATGAGGTGGCTGACTATTTTAAGCATTATAATTTACACAGTCTTCCAATTTTTTTAAAAAGTTATGTTTTCTGGATGTTTGCAAGAAAGGCATGAAAGATGGGTGGTAATTAGCCTCCTAGACTTCAAAAACTTGCTGAAGTATTTGAAGAAAACAGAAGATGGGGAAATAAGTCATAAGAAAATGATTAATGGCTTTCAATTTCTTTCATAGCAAAGGTTTGGGACAGATGTAATTGGTCTATTGTGTGTGAAAGTTTATAATATGCAGTTTTACCTTAATAACCCAAAGCATCAAATAAAACAGAGTGCAACAAAATGCACTAGATACTTGGAGGATTTGGTAAAAACCTGGTTCAACCCTTCTCCTCAGGGTCATAAGGCAAAGATATAATCATTAAAATGTAAATCTGGCCCATGCAAAGGTCCATGACCACAGGCAAGGACGGCATGGTGAGCTAGAGTGAAGGTGCCAGTTGTCTGGGGTTTTCCAGGGACAATTAAGTATACAGTCTTGTCAGTTTCAAGACACATTTAAACCTTAAAATATACACCATGTGTGTCATGGTGAGGGCTTTCTGGAGGAAGAGGGCCTCTGCTGTAATTAAAAAAAAATGTTGGTTGGATGTGGTGCCTCAACCTGTAATCCCAGCACTTTAGGAGACCAAGGTGAGAGGATTGCCTGAGCCCAGGGGTTTGAGACCAGCCTGGGAAACTTGGCGAGACCTCATCTCTATAATAAAAATAGCAACAACAAAAATCAGCCGGGCGTGGTAGCGCAAGCCTGTAGTTCCGACTACTTGGAAGGCTGAGGTGGAAGAATCGCCTGAACCCAGCTGGTCGATGCTGGGTGGCAGTGAGCGTGCCATTGCACTCCAGCCTGGGTGACAGAGTGAGATTCTGACTCAAAACAAAGAACCGAAAAACCAAACAACAACAAAAAACAAATAAAAAAGAAAGTTGACAAGCTGGTAACAAGAACGAGAAAATGTTACAATATTTGAAAAATGGATAAAATAGAGTAATTTATAAATCTACCTTTATAGAAATAGAGCATAAAAAATGAAGTATTGTGCTCTCCAAATAGCTAAATGATGGTTGTTTTAAATATTGTCCATGTGTTTTAGAGGTATTGTCGGTTAATTCATACAATGTAATCCTATACTAGTAAATAGAAAATTGCTGTTTTTATGATAGACTTTTGTTTATATAATAGAGATATGGAGTCAAATTTCTTTTTATTGGAAAGTGGAAACAATAAAGATAAATATAAACACCTGCCAATACCCTCAAACTCTTAATTTAACCCAATATTAAGTATGTGTGCCTAGGATTTTCCCGCCAAAGTTTCCAAATTTAAATCTTAGAAACTTTGCAGATAAATAACAAAAAGATTCTGCTGAATTTATTTTATGAGATCATTAATCTTGAGTATCATTTTTATTAAAAAATCGGGTTTTTTTTTTACATTGAGCACTCATAACTGCCAAAAAGAGAGTTTTAATGATGTTGAATAAACAATGCTGAATATTTTTGTACCAAATGATTTGATATTTCTCATCCTTGCAATACATTGGTGATCTTTCAGGTGCTCTTTGAGGAAAAAGAAAAGATAACCTGTGCTCCTCAACAGGGCTTGAAAGATTATAAAAATGTTGCAGAATCTCATATACAAAGCTCTCTCCAACACAAGGCCTCCTGAAAGAAAATTCTTTGTCTCCGGTATATTTCAATGCATGCATCCTGTTAAGTATCTAATTATATTATATGAATACCTGAAAAAAAAAATCCAAAACTCCAGGCTGGTTACCAGGAGAATGTGCTGTTTCCATGGCAACTCCCTCTTGTACACATTCTGCTTGCTCGTGTAGGAAAAGCACTTCATTGATATAATGGTGCATCTTCTCGTTGGTCATGTTGACACAGATCTACGGTGGGAGGAAGAGACAACAGTTCACAAGGTTCAAGGGTACAGTTCCAGATTGGTGAAATATTAACTCAGGAAAGCTCAAACCAATAAGTCTAACAAGACATTGTCTATGAAGACACTACGGTGTCGCCGGAGAAGTCAGAGTTTCACTTAAAGTCCAGGAAAGCACTGCCACAAATCAAAGATGTCGGATTCCGTACTGTCTGATTGTTCAATTTATAGTCTATTAAAAGCAACAAAAAGTATGATTACGGCATTAGTTTACAAATGTCGTGTCTCAAATATATTTGAGCATTCAAAAAACATTTCCAAAAGAAAGATGTATTTGGGCTATCCTCCAGAAATGAAGACAAAGCTTCATTCCAGAGCAAAGAGAAACATTCCTTGCAGACCTCATTTCTGTTTCTGATTGTCCGTTAGTGAGGGGCGATAGTGAACGGGGGGTTTCTTTCAGATATCATAATAAACAGTGAAAGCATTTTATTTTAGAAGCTATTTTCTTTGTCAGAAAATTTTCTGCATTTCTCCACCTGTTGGTTTTTCTCTACCCACAAGACATTCCCATCAGGAAACAAGTGTGTTATTTCTTAATCTTGACTTAATTTCTTCACCTTAAAACAGACTTTATCTTAAAGCATCTTGAAAATAAAGCAACAACTCAAATCTAATAAAAATGAAATACCACTTCCCCTTTAAACTACCATTATTCTGATTCCTTTCATTTCAAATAACCACAAATGACTCGTTTTTACCTTTTATTTTAAAATTTTCCTCCCATTCTCTCTTGAAACCATTCTAATAGAACTTTTGGCTACATGGAGCTACCAAAATAGCTTTGATGGAAGTCACCGGAGATGGGTGCATTTCTAAATTCTGCATTCAGCTTTCAGTGTTCGTTTTTCTTGAGGTCTCCCCATCTCCGCCACCTTGCCACCACCAATATTTGATGTGTCCTCGGAACATCTTCTGGCCTGTCTTCCAGGACACCACACTCTCTTGGTCTCCCACCTCACTGGCCGTTCCTTCCCTATCTCCTTTCCTGACTCTTCGTCCACTCCTGGCCTGCTCATATGGGAGTGTTGGGGTCTCAGTCCATGAACCTCGTAACCTCTCTGACTACAAGGTCTGACAGTTAAGTTCACGATCGGCCTCCATGTGCTTTCGTTGGCATCAATGTACAAACAACTCGGTAAGGTTTCATAACCTTGGTATATCAGTGTCTCACAACTGTGTTCCCGTTGATGTGTGGAAGTGTCTTTCTGAGTAATGTTCATTACTGTTGTTGCATGTTTTTGTGCGCCATGACAAGAATGTGGGAGCTTAAATTAGAGCAATGAACAAACATTAAATTTCTTGTTAAACTTGGCAAGAGTGGAAGTGAAATCAGGGACACGTTAGTCCAAGTTTATGGAGACAATGTCATGAGGAAAATGGCAGTGTACAAATGGATTAAAAATTTTTCTGAGGGGACAGAAAACATCACTGATGAAGAGAGGTCAGGATGGCCAAGAGTGAGCAGAAGTGACAAATACACATTGCAAAAATTTGTCAAATTGTGCATCAAAATTATCAGCTGACTCTGAGAAGCATAGCAGACCAAATAAACATTGATAGAGAAACAGGAAACTCTTAACTGAAAATCTTGTCATGAGAAAGGTGTGTGCAAAATGATCCTGAAGGAGCTCTTGCATCATGACAATGCACCAGCTCACATAGCACTGTCTGTGAGAGAGTTTTCAGCTAGTAAACAGTTGACTGTATTGAATAACCCTCCCTGCTCACTTGATCTGGCTCCCAATGACTTTTTGTTTACCCAAAGAAAAAGGAAATATTGAAAGGGATACTTTTGATGACATTCAGGTTGGTGCAAATCTTCCTAAGGGGAGGACTTCGAAGATGACCATAGTGATATTCAGCAGTGAGGTATGGAACACTTTTTCTAGGATGAGTTCGTGTACTCAATTGTCACACTTCGTACACCCACCTCCTTTGAGAGCTCTTTAATCTCCCAGACCCTCATGTTCCCTATACTGCCAGGTAAAATCCAAAAATATTTAGATATATTTAGTGCTCAGTAACTCACTAAAAATAACTAAAGACAAACTCTTTATATAGAAGGAAACAACTGATACAATGTTTTAGAGGAAATGAGATCTTAGCAGCAAATAAAATACTATCTAAAAGTATATCTAATGTGTATTCTGGATACATATAAAGAAAATGCCAAAGCTTTTGTAAAGAACACGGCCAAATATGACTGTCATAGTCAGCACAGAAAAGAAAGATCTCCTTGTATTCCTGTTTTCCAAGTACCGCAAATCTTCTCCAAGTCTGACATCATCACAACACCAGGGAACTAGAAGTGCTTCTAGATATTCCTGTCCTGTGATCGGAATTCACGTCTTCCCTCTATCCTGTGGGAGAGGGGACATCTCTTATGTCTCAACTTCCAGTGAGAGAGACAAGCAATGTTTTTAAGTGACCGACATCAGAAAGCCTTTCATTCTCTGTATGGGGGTCTGCACTTACCTATAAGACTTGGCTATTAAAGAATTGAGAATACACACACATAGAGGAAGAGGGGCATTTTCTCACGGATCCAGTGATTTGGGAGGATAGAAAATAATGAGATTCTAGAGACATGGAGAAGTCTCAAAGGGAAATATTTTTTAGTGGAGATGCACATAGGTGAGAGCGTAGAACATTTATCTGAACACAGAAGAGAGTCTGGCATGAGACTGGATTGATTGCATATAAAGTTCTATCATTTGCTTCTTGCCAGGCCCAGAATTTTGTGAGTGGTTATAGACAACTCAACCATCCTTAAAAATCCAGTGATTGGAGTATGAGAAATTTGTAAGCCTGAAGATACCTTGACTGAAGCAGAGTTTGAAGAGCTGAAACTGAAGAGGTTTTTATGACCTGACGTAGCTACATTATTTTAACAATGGCTATACGTGATCTCTCTCTCTCTCTCTCTCCTTATCTCTTTTTTACTATCAATGTGATAAGTGAAGACGAATAGTACAGTAGAAATATGCCAAATATTTAAAAAAGAACTATATAAAATAAGATCTAAATATCACACACTGATACCCAAACAATAACAAAAAATAATTCTTAGCTCTAGGTCAAAAAATGATGCTCTGTGGTGACTGATTTTTCTAATTGTTTTTCTTGCATCTCTGGTCTCACAGTAAAAGATGGTTTTTGGAGGGGCATACCTCATTAACAGGGGTACCTGCATGATCAATGTTTGTATACCTAACCCTGAATTGTATCACACATCTTTACAATAAAATTTTTTTTAAAAAAGATGGTTTCTGTAAACTCAGTGATTTTCTTTCTTGTATCTCATTTGCCCAGTAAGTAACTAGAACTTTTCCCGTCTGCTCTCTGACAACTAGATTCTGTGAGATAGATGCAAAGCTGGAAGTTCTTTACATTTAAAGTTAAGTGTTTCTTAGATAAACTCACACTTCTGGTGATCATTTTTCTTAATTAAAAATAGTCACTTCAAATGAGAACATACCATAGAAAACATTTCACTTTAAAGGCCCTGCTGTGAAGACAAATACGATTTGAATATGGACACAGATCATCAATCCTGAACATGATAACTGGCAAAGGGAGAAATGACATTCAGAATCTAAATATCATATGAAAAATATTTCTTTTTTGTAAATGATACTGTCTAGCACATTTATCCTCTTGAATTATTCCATCAAAACTAAGTGAAGCCAGTAAACCCAGATCTTCACGATTAGTTTCTATGTTTATCTTTTCCTGCATGGTATAAATCTCCAGGAACGGTTTTGGAAAGACAAACCATTTTCTATACAACTGTGTAGCATCTGTCCACAATAGTATCCCTACTGCTAAAGTAACACATTTACTTATCACTTGATCTTAATCATAAATAAAAAATCAAAATTTGCGAAAATTGTTACAGAAAACTTGAAAAATTTAAAATTATTTCACTTTGCTTCAAAAATAATATTTGACTATGTTCCTTTAAAGAAGTAATTTGCTAAATTTCTTCGATACTGAGGTAATTTTATTACTAGGATGTCATAAATGCTGTGAGATTATTAAAATCGAGAGTAAAATATTCACCAAAAATGTACAGAAAACAAATGACGTCTGGCATGGAATGGAGCCATCGGAAAACATTCTCTTCGATTATATAATGCATATCATTGTACCTTCTCAAACATTTTGCTATTAAAAATATATAGAATAATTTAGGAAAGCACAAATAGATCCTGTGTCTCAACTTCACCTAAAAGTGTTAATAGATAGTGTGCTTAAATGCAATCTGTTTTAGGAACAAGAAAATGTTGAACCCGTGAAAAGTAAGGTAATGTTTATTACGTTGTAAAACAATAAATAGAAGTCTGATGAAGCAATTCCAAATTTTAAAAAAATCAATGACTGATTTTCTATTGTTCAAAAAATGTCCAAGTTATATGACATTTTTCTTCCCCTTACTTTGAGATTCTCTAATTGAAAATAGTTGGATGGAAATGGATTTCTTCAACATATTTAATATAATTCCCTTATCATTTTGCATTCAGAGTAGGCTGCAACTTTGCCTGTACAAAAATTACTTTCGATTATAATCTGACTAAATCCTCTTGGTCTTGACTGTTTTATGACAGACCATCTCTGTCGTGTTTTGACAGACCTGAGCCTTTTCATAATAGACAATAAATGTACTTTATTTTTTTACTAACATTTTATTGAACTGAACATTGGCTTCACTTAATCAATCCACTGGTTTAATCAAAGCAGTGAAACCAGTGTGGATGTAGATGAAGCCATATTAAAGGGCTGGAAGATGTCAGGTCTCTGTTTTCTTTTTTCCCAAAAAAGGTCTAAAGGAAACTACTGAACTGTGGCTACAGAAAGGGATTTGGCCTGTGCTTTTGGATAAAGCACCCAAATTTATGACTCTCCTGGTCAAAGTGACTAATAAAACACAACTTCTCCACTGGA